CGTGTGTGTGTGATTTCAGCATTTAAATGACTCCACCATCACAAAGTATACAGTGAAAACACACACACACACACACACACACAACAGGGATGCACAGTTGGAATCATTGTTATGTAGGAGAAGTGCCAAAAGTCCTGAATTCAGTGAGGTGTTTATACATTTATATATTTTTAATATATATTACTGTTTTTGTGACAACAGACTGTCCTGTCCAACCAAATGACTCATGAACAAAAGGACCAAAAATAGAGGACAAACACTGGATGAGGGAACGACAGACAACTTGGTGACACTCCGTACTTAGGAAAAGAGAAGGAAAAACTCAAAGACCTTGCAAAAGCTATCACGCAAACTCACAATCAGCTTTTCAAATCAAAAAGCCAAACTCCAAAATATAGTAACAAAGTTTGCACATGTGAATATTTCCATCTCATCTCCATCTAAATAAGAAAAAGAAAAAGAAAAACTCTGTCCTCCAGCTGACACTCTCTCTGTCTCTGTCTAGGAGTCCACGTACCTTGCAGAGTTTCTGGTAGCGCGGCGAGGAGATGGCCATCCTCTGGAGCCTGTGAAGGAAGACCACCACTTTCTGGAGGGAGGTCCGGACCATGGCCATCATCTTAAGACTGCTACAAGCCTGCAGCAGCCTGCTCCTGGTCCGCATGCTAGCACTGCCCTACCCCGCTCATATTGTTCTCCCTCTCCCTCTCTCTAGCCAGCCGACCAGACCCCAGCCAAGCTGACGTGATGCACACACACACACATGAACACACACACACAGAGGGAGAAAAACACACACACACACTTGCAAACGTACTCAGCTCAGCATGCCTCTATGTTTCGTCACATATACACACACAAACTACACACGGTGAGCGCAGCCTCAGTAAGGTCTCTCTCTCTCTCTCTCTTTATAAACAGACACAGCTCCCAGCACACACACACACACACACACATATGATGATGCAGGAGAGCGGGACGAGACAAGACACTCACTTTCTCCTCCACGCGGACATTTACACGCGCACCACCGACCCCAAAAGCCAGAAGGGAATCAAACAAATCACTTGTGACGCTACCCCGCAGAGTCAGAGGAGGGTGACGAAGAAAAAGAAGATGAAGAAGGACAAAAAAGATCAACAGGGAGAAAAGAGTTGAAAGTGGCAGCAAGCTGGAAAGGAGAGGAGAGGAGAGAGGAAGGCGCGAGTTGCACTGGACGAGAAGAGAAGCTCGTTACGCGGCTCACTTTTTTACTGCCACTGATCCAGAGAGAGAGGAAGAAACGGAAAAGGAGAGAGAGAGAGATACAGTAATCCCTTTGGACCACAGAAAGAGAGAGAGAGAGAGAGAGAAGAAATGAAGGAGAGAGATGAATCAAAAGCAGTAGTGTACAGGGACAAAAACCATTCCTCTGGCGTGACAGGAGAATGACACTACGCAAGGCGACCTACAGATCAATGAGCGAGACAAAGAGAAAAAGGGAAAGAGAGCAACAGTGAGTGGGAGAGAGCAAGAGAGAGAGAGCTCCGAGCACAAATGAGATGCACACACACGCGCACACAACAGGGTTACGGAGGGGGAGGAGTCACTTCAGGCATCAAGGCTTCCTGGAAGTTAAAGCCCCATTCATTTTCCGCACTGGAAGTGTTAGTGACAGACAGCTGGAACGCTTCCACGGCTGGACGACACCATCCAGGTTGAATCATGAGTACAAAAGACCAGTAATTGTATTAGACTGTCTACATGTTCCGACCCTATAGTTTAAGTTATTTTAACCCAAATGATGATCTGTCTTTTTCCTAAACCTGATAAATTTAGCTCTGCAAGACATTTGACATCTCCCAAAAAGAAAAGAACACTTGAACAATGAACATACATCAGTGTGATTATAACGTCCGAAATGGACAGAAACCATTTTTTAAACAAATTGTCTTAATGTGTATGTCTGACTTAGCCTATGTCCCATCCACTAACATGGAGAAGTCGGGGTTTTACAATTATATCTGTGGAAAGGTTGTTTTTGTTGTTGGCAAAATAATGCTTAAAAATATTAACTGAGAAAAAGAGATATGAGGGAGGAGAGGAGATTAAAGATAAAACAAATAAAAAGTGGGAGGAAAATTGAGAAGTAAGAAAAAAGGTAGGAAGACTCCGTTAAGACAAGATAAAAAGGTTTTCAAGCATCGTTTTATCTGTGCAGAAAAACGCTAAATCTTTGGAGGATAAATCTGTTTGAAGCGCACACAACTACAGTAGAGATGACATCAAGAGACAACGGGGAAAAGAGAGAATAAGAGAGGCAGGTAAAAGCAGAGACACTGAAGCTGCACAATCAGCAGCTATCATAATAAAAGAGCCACTCAGCTCTTGCAGAGCCGCTGACCTCAGTATTACACACAGGTGGGTATTTTACATCTATTCATGCTCTCTGTGACACTTACTTTCATTTTAAGTGCAACTGAAAAACCTTCTCTTTCTCCCAGATGAAAGACAAGAGGCTTTTATTTAAAGGGAGGGTGAAAAAACCTCTGTATTCCCAGAGCTGCACGCTTCACACCAACCGTTCCCCCCCGTATCTGTGACTCATACATTCAACCAAACAAACATGCACAAATTATGAATTCGACGTCTCACTACGAGACGCATTACAGCACTTGGTACCTGCGTGTAATGTCACTTTATACAGATAAGGACGGGGACTCCGAGGCGGGGAGGAGAAATGAGCACAAATAAATGAACACAAATACAAAATGCCTGTAAACCACCATGCCGCTCATCGACCCAGCCAGCTAGAATAATCGTCATTTACCAACAGGGCTCATGCACACACACACACACACACACACACACACACAACAATAGAGAGAAGGGATCATGGTAAGCTGAGTGAAGAGCTGTGTTTAGACAAGGTTTAACTCGAAGCAGCGTCCAATTCAAGTTAGTCCACCGGGTATCGACTCGGCTTCACAGGGAATTACAAGGGAGACTGAGTGTTTTTTTGGCTCGGTATTAAAGGCAGTGACAGGACTAGGTCTCAACTAAGGGGTTAGAGGAGGCATGTACGTCTCCGCTGTTCACGTTGCAATGGTCAACCCACACACACGCACACACACACATATATAAGGCCAGCCTGATCAAAGCAGCTCTTGAAGCTTGGTGCACCTTTGCACTTTTCTTCTAGATGCCATTAGTGCTACAGCTTCCAGTGTGGTGTGGTATGATGAAGGGGATTATTTTCCATATATCATATACTACCCACCAGCCTCAGTGTGAGCAATATACAGTATTATATTCCATAAGATTAGGTATATATCATTCTGTGTCTGGTTGTATTGGACCATTACAGTGGATTTTCAGGTTTGAAATCCCAGAACTACTCACAATATACTGTCAATAAAAAAGCGATATAAAACTACAACGTAATGTTAAAGTATTGTTAAAATTGTAACTGAGTCATGAATTCCTGTCTACCATTTATACAAAATGTGTCCGAGCCTCATTGATTTTACATTTAAAGATATTCCAGTGCCGGTAGCATCAGGAGTGCCTCCAGTACTGCAACAGTGTCGGACAGCTTAGAGTACGCAAATCTATGTACAGCTCTGACACCACGTCTTTAATGTGGGTTTTTATATTTTGACTGTGGTACTCTGTATCGCAAAGAACTACTTTTGGAATCTGTATCAGGAGGGAGATAATTACATAACTTCTCCTATTACACAATGAACTGTGTCCAAAACTTCTGATGAAAGTAACTGGACACTGAGCAGCCATCATGAGTTCATAAAACTGCGGGGGATGAAGGGACTACGTCAGCACTCGTCCTCTACGGCTCAAAGCCTGCCTCCGTCTCATTAACCCACTTTCTAAACTTAAGTGCCATCCATCAATTTCGACTCCAACTGAGACGGAGAGAGAGAAAAAAGGATAAAAAAAGGATAAAAATAGACTTTGAATGGGAAATAACGAATTCAGAGAAAATCAAGCTCCACTAATTCTTGATTTATCAGCCGATTCTTAAACCACATTTACTTCACACAGGATCTTTGCCATGACTTTCATAGAATGTGATAATTTGGAAGAAATTATCACAATTAGATGCAAAGAACAAATACAGTCAGGCCTCAGAAATGAGCTGCAAAAGTCTCAGTGTCACGTTCACACCACATTGATGAACTCTTATAAATCTCTGTAGTCATTCATGCAATGATTTACTTTTTTTACTCCATAACCTTGGCCTGTTTTATCATAATTGGACAATGAAGGTGGGAGCGCTGTGGCATTCGAGATGATGGGAACCAACAATTTTATTAATGGAGAGAAGCTTTCGGTTCTGACAGATGAGTGGCTTTGCAGCGTTTTTTCTCAAGGTCAAGGGGGTTATCCAAAGACCAACCATCAAATCAATGACCATTTCTGAATAAAGAAAACGTATGAGAGTGACAGGGTCAACATTTTATTTAAAATGTATTTATATTTAACTTCATGGAAACGTCCAAAAAGGAAGATTGGCACCTATTTCGTCCGTTGAAAGGGTGAGGTGAAGTGATAATGGGATTACCTTGATACATAAAGCATAAAATGAAAGGTGTCAACAATTCCCTGAGGGAAGGTCCGGGCAAATGATGAGTAACACACACACGCAAAAACTCCTACACACTCTGTGTTCCTAAGCAGCACAGGACAAGACGATCAATGAGCCACGCTCATTGCATACAAGCACTCACACGCTCTCTGCATGCCCTCTCATTTACACACCTATAACCAGCAGGACGTACCTACACACACACACACACACACACACACACACA